TAGAGTCTGTCCCTTCTCACCATGCCCTAGAGTCACCTTGGACATGGTCTATACCTCAGAAGTATCCTTTTCTCTTCTGCCTGGGAGGATTGTGGCAGCATCTGGCCAAGGATGTACAGCCTACTCCACCAGCAAGCTCCGCTCTCCTCCAGAGCAAGCAAATGCTTTCTCTCTATTGCCTGTGAAAGGGTTGAGCACTGTGGCAGTGGAAAACTCCTAGAGCTTCAAATGGCCGTGAAGGGTTCTGCTGCCCTGACTCTATCTACCAGACTGGACATTACTTCAGGAATATCTTTATAGCTAGTGCATAACTTTAGAGCATCAAAGACCATGATGTGTGCCTTTTACCCTTCCAATCTGTCTTGTCCAGTTAAACCAGAGATTTAAAGTTTCTCAGGACAGTAGTTGTCTTTCACTCTAAGCAGAATTGTGCCTCACAAAATGAGTCTTGATCTGTCACATTTAAACACTAGGACAGCACAACCACCAAGTCATGAGAAATAATCTAAGTACAAATAAGCACTGAAACATGAGATCTTTGAGAACTCTGAGGTTTGTGTCCACCACACTGGTTAGCTAAAGATTGAAGACCATCTTCCCCCACAGGGATGAGAAAGGAAAAATTGAGGAGAGTGTGAGGGTTAAGTGCTCTGTTCTTGTCCTGTTCTTCAACTTTCCCAGGCATCTACTTATGGCCAGTATTGGAGATCTATTTGGCTAGATAACTTCTAGTCAGATGCAGGGCAGCACTGGTAAAGTGTTTTTCATTTTAAAGCCTTCTTTACTTACAAATTGTAAATGATATTATATATATATTGTAAGTTATAAACCCTTTTCAGCCTCAGTTCCTCCTCACAGTGTAACGTGGCTGATAACTCCTCTCTTGTTTTAAGCATGATAAAGCCACCAGCTGCACCAGGGCCACTGACCTGCACCCAGAAGAAACCCAAACTCTACCAGTCTTGCATGTTTTAATTTGTGTTTAGTCTTCCCTTGCCTATAAGGGCTAAACTGCAAGTAATGCCTGGTGAGGGAAAAGGAAAGAAAGAAAAAAGGACAGAGCAAATTCACTCTTAAATAACAGACATTTATATAACATATTCTCTTCATTTTATCCTATCATTTAGATACCAAGGAATGGCAGGACATGTGAGAACTATATTCATTTAAAAATAACAATGTGTCTTAAAGAAGAAATTAAATCAAGAGGATGAAAAAGAGCACAGGTAAAAAAAAAGTAACGCGAAGAGCTGTTAATTACTGTCACTTCTCCCTTGAGTTTTTGGATATTTTTTCCTCTACTCAAATGTGTTTCCTCTGCTATGACTTTTTCTACATAACATGATACTGGTATATTAATGCTTGATGAAGCAAGAAATTTTGAAGGCAACTTCTGTTCCATACAATGAGGAATTACTGAATTTTCCCCTTTTTTGTCAGGTATAATGCATTGGTATCAGTACAGTTGTGGGAACTACAGTATTACATGAATTAACTACATGAATAAGTCTGTCATTTATTTTGATAGGACTTTGACAAGAAAAGAATTTAATTCCATTAAATTGTCACGCTATTTAATTATTATTGTGTTATTTCTGTTTCCCAGTTTTCAACTCACAAGACTGTAGATCTTCACTGATGTGCCTTGCGGTAGGTCAGAGGTGACCATCTTGAACATAAGATCCTCACAAGGAACTACAGTTTTCAATTGAAGCCTGCTGGCTCACAGCAGTTAGCTGCAAGTTTCAACAGTTCAAGAAGGTAATACAGCCTCTTCCTGCAGCAGCTGCAGCAGGCAGAAATAACAGACTGATGGCCGAAGGGGAGAAGAAAAAGAACTGGGGAACTCTTCCTTTTCTTTATGTCATTTCAGGGGCATGCTGCGCACTTGGTGGGGCTGCCAGGAAGCTTACTACAGCACCTTTGGCACTGGTGAGGAATAATCAGTGTCTGGTGTCACAAAGCAGAGTCGAGATCAGTCACAACTGTGGCCAGGGCAGTGAAATAGGAGGGTGAAGCTCTGGATGTCAGCAAGCTGGAAATTTCTCCAGAGTAGGCAAAAAGCTCCCAGTGGCCACAAGCCAATAAACCAGCTCTGTTCCATGTAGTCATACAGCCTCTAGCATAAGGATAGCAGGAACAGTGACACATCTGTTCCTAAATGCCAAAAACACCCCTCAGGAGGATGTATAAAGCTCAATTCAGGGGATAACTACAGGGCCAGGATAAATCGTTGAAGATATGAACACTGTCAGTTCAAGAAGCTGAGGACTCTGTAACTTTTTGTGACATAGTCAATAAAATGATTGCTCTTTTGTACCAGAACTGCAGCCCATCTAGTTCAGCATCCTGCCACTGGGATCCTGCCTTTCAAGTACCTGAATAAAGCCTGCAGCAAGTGTATGTATAAAAGCCAATCTGTTCTTGTCCTCATCCTACATCTTCTAACACCCAGAAGCTACCCTCTGAATAAAGGAAGAAATTTATTAATCTTCCCAATAAATCTATTAGAATTCATTACAGACTTGTTGATACATCAGTTTGTGTCATCTATAAACACAATTAAAAGGATGAGAAACAAGATCTTGGTATTTATCAGTCCTTTGTAGTCTTAGCAGTAACTTCAGCAAGTGCCCTGAAAGCATTTCAATGCCTCTAAATCACTAAGTAATATTAACTCAACGTTTAGAAGTTTTCCAAATCCTCCTTCTGTTAACTGTACATGGTGACACTTAAACTAATGAGGCCAAATTAACAACTTCCAAGTTTTAAATAATTAAAGACAGCCACTGCTATCTAAATCTGCTGAGATAATATTAAACCCATGATTTACTGCCAAATGCTCTGAAGTTATACTGTCACAAAGTTATTGTGGTATTGAAGGCCAGGGGAAAATATACCATCAGATATTAATGATAAACACAGCTAAGATTCAGACCGAGTTTTGGGGAGAAATATAAATTGTAAAGTGAGTGTCATATGTTGTGTTCACATGCAGCACGAGCCCAACCAGCTGTAAATAACTAAAACAGCTAAGACTTTCCCATTATCTTAAGGGCTGCCAGGCACCAGCCAGATCTTTCAGTCTTTATTTACCTACCTGCACCTTTATATTCTCTGGTGTTTCTTAGAAAAGATCATAGGTCTCCACATGTTTGGGAAACCTACAGCTCTTCATACACAAATGAGCATGTTTCTATAACTTCAGCTATGTAACTATTTCACTTATTTAGATGAGAACTTTTTCACTGTGTTGCAATTTCTTGTTATTTTTTGCATGCCAGTCAAACAATCACCAGGAATCATTGTTTTGTAATTCATTAAAAAAAGAAAGGTAGGAAAAAAACCCACCCCAAACATAAAATCTGTTTTCCATTTTTATCCTTTACAAAATTGGCCCAGTAAAATACTTGACAAATATATAACGACTGTAACAGACAAGTACATTTTACTGTCGAGTTTCAATCACTGTGGTAAGTTTGCTTCCAGCCTCAGTCCCCACTGAAGTCCACAATGGTGTTGACGTTGACTTCAACAAGGTCACAATTCAATTCTCTGGAGGTCCGTGGGTGTTTTCAAGCAGGAAGCATGAAGAAATGCAGGCAGGTATGTGTGTGTTTGTGAGACCAACAGAGAGGCCACACCTCTGTGTTCAGAAACTATGTACTCCACTGGTTTCTTCAAATACCAGGAGGGCTTGGCTGGAAAAGACTTTGTTGGCAGCTAAAGCCTTCATAAAATGAACCCTCCGTAGTGCAGCAAAACTGGCCTCTTGCAATTAAACTTTCCATTTTATGAAAGAAAGCCATTTTCTGCTAGCAGTTCAGCAAAAAAGGATGTACCTAATTACAGTGAATCTCTCAGACAGGACTATCTTCAGATACATGAACATTTGCAACAGACTATGTGGCTGCAGCAAAATGCTGGCTGTCTTTATCATGGAGACCCAGCTCTTCCTCTCAGTAAATTAGTGACCTTTGGTGAAGTGGGATAGCCCCTTAGGGAGGGAGGGGGTTGTTGCTTTTTCTTACCTTCTCGAATGATGCCAGACACAGGTTAGCTCAGAACACAAGCAGAGCATTAAGTAGGGCAAAACAACATTGAAACTACAGCAGTATTAAACTGCCAGGCTTTACAGCCACACGATTCTGACTTTTTGGTTTTCGTTGTGCAAGCAAGAGCTTTCCTGTTAGAAGGGGAAATCAGTTGAGAGAGAGAGCATACAGCATAGTAGGGGAGCCCTGCTGTTACTTGCAGCAAGAACGTCAGAACTGGAAGGAGGAGGTATTAAATGTAATTCCCTGCTGCTCACTCTCTTAAGGCACAGACAGTTCTCTAATGGAGGCCTGCTGGCTGCAATCAAAGGTGGCCCTAGGAGACCTTCTCCACCATAAAGCCATAAGCAGCAACAGCAGACTATAAAGTTCTTAATTAGATTTAAGCATAATCCTGGAAGTCTTAAGCAATGGAGAATCCTCAGATCTGGTACTTCTGAGGGAGGCTCTGATTGCACAGAATCATGGAATGGGTTGGGTTGGAAAGAACCTTAAAGCTCATCCAGTTGCAACCTCCTGCCTCAGGCAGGGACACCTTTCCCTGGACCAGGTTGCTCAAAACCCCATCCAACCTGGCCTTGAACACTGCCAGGGATGGGGCAGCCACAGCTTCCATCCGTGGCAGCGTCTCGGGGGGGTTCACAGGATCCCAGAATGGCTGAGGTGGGAAGGGACCTCTGAGGGCAGCTGGTCCAGCCCCCTGCTCAAGGGCTGATGCCCAGGGCCGTGACTGAGGCTCCACTGGGCAACCCGTGCTAGCGCTCTGTCACTTTCAAAGGGAAAAGGCAGTCACCGACATTCGGAAAGATGCTCCCGTGCTGCAGCTTGCGCCTATGGCCGCGGGTCCCACCCCTGGGCTCCACAAGGAGCACCCTGAGCTGCCCCGGGGCAGTCCCCGTCCCCTCCCTGCCTCCCGTGCACCCACCCCGCCGGGATCCGCGTTACCTCAGCGGCGGAGGGGAGCGGGAGGCTCCGGACCCGCACAGCAGCGGCTGCTGGCCCGCGGGGTTCCGCCTGGCAACCGCGGCTGCCCGGGGAGGAGCCCCGCGGCCGAGGCTGGCCGGGCCGGGCTAAGCTGCCTTTCCCCCGGCCCCCGCGGCCATGTCCATCCACCCCCACCGACCTTCTCCTTCCCTCAGGATGCGTCTGGAAGGCGCTCGCCCCTCGGAAGCAGCGGCGCTGATGGGGCATTCTGGGGTCTCTTCAAGTGGCTCCTATTTATGGCTCTCCCACCTTAGAGCCCAGCCTGGGTCTCGGCAGCAAAGCCTAGTGATGCATGCATGGGATGCAGCCATGGAGCCAGCCCACCACCCCCCGGCGCCTTCAGTAGCCAAGGGTGAGTGATAAAACGTGTTAGCTCATCACATTAAATGCTCAGAATCATATTAAATGCTGAGGTAATATTAAACATGAAGCTAATATTAAACGTGAAGCTAATATTAAGTGTGAAGCACCACACGGGCCAGGCTGCAGGCAGAAACCTCCACCAAGGGCCTGAGGGAGAGGAAGCGCTGAAGGGATCAGGAGAAGGATGCTGGCTGACCTGTTCAAGTGTGTTACAGAAAATAAGATCTTGGAAGCAGTAATGAGCCCCACACATTTAATGTTTAGAGTGGTAAAGAGCTGGCAGAATCATAGAATGGTTTGGGTTGGGAAGGACCTGAAGATCATCTAGTTCCAACCCCCCCGCCATGGGCAGGGACACCTCACACTAACGTTTCTGTGTGGTCAATAATGCACTATTGAGATGATCAGCTGAAGCATACATATCAGTCATAAAACTTCTGTTTTAGCAATATCCACTTTTTACCACTGTCTTAGAAACAGGCATTGTTGTAGGAGTTCACTAGCTTTTTGAGGACGGGCCTTCACCCTGAAGGGTTTGTTCTCACTTTCTTTGGTGCATCCAATTCACATTAAACTCAAAAGAACCAGTGGATAGCTTAGGGCACACACATTCCATCATCCATTAAGTGACCAAAGGATAAATCAGGCTTCATGTGAGCACTACCCTGATACTCTCTGTAGTTCTGTAAAGACGTGTTTATCCAGATTTCCATGTCTTCTGCCTTTCAAATTATGCAGCTCCAAGAGAACTCTGTGTCACAGAGAGGAACACAGGCTGCAATATCAGGCAAAAAGGTGGAGCAACTGCACAACTGTGCAGGAATGCTTTAGTTCTATGCTAGTTATTGTATACTCTTGTTCGTTGTGTCTTAGCCATGACAAAGGAACAACTTTGTTTCAGCTGGTGAGTTTCACCTGCTGTAGAGCAAGAGATGAGGAAGGGCATTCTGAGTAAAACACACTGATCATTGGTGCTCCTTGTGTGTAAGCAGATGTAAACATCAAAGCCATGCTCTGGAAAATAGTGTAAGTCGCAGAACACAAGTTGTAGCACTGTCTTGCAGTGAGTTTTAAGTAGAGAGATGGTTTTTCCAGAGTCATCCTAGTGACATCTCCTCTCAAGTCTGCCTTGAACCTATGTGGGCATATAGGGCAAGAATATACCTAGAATCAAGCAACACTTAGAGAGGAGGGAGATTAAACTTCCAGCTTTAAAAAACTGTGTTTAACATTTCCAACCACTTCAAAATAAAATGTCCCCGGGTGGCAAGTGGAAGACAAACTTTCTTTCCTTAAACCTCTTCAAGCTTAAAGCAGGCAACTAAACATTTTAATCTTCTAGCTTCATGTCTTCTCGCAGATCACTATGGGTGACAAATGTTCTGAAGGGCAATCTGTGCTTTAAATTCCCTTTCAAAAAGCTAGGCAGTTCATTTGCATACAGATAACTGACTAGTCCTTTAATTTTGTCGTAGTTCTGTTGATGATAGACAAGAGTTATAGCTTGTACTCCCTCAGTTATGTTGGTGTAGCAAGAATAACAAGTAACTTAAAAAAAAAGGTGTTTTTGTTACTGATGTCAGCACACCCATGTCTGAGTTCACACAGGGAACAGCTGTAACAAGTAAGAAGATACATTATACACACTCACTATTTGGGGATGAACTGTGCTTCAGAGAAAGTTGCGTAGATCATAAGCCTGCAAGCAAGAAAAGTTGCTCTTAATGTGCTGATACTTTTTAGAACCAAGGCAAGGCTTTTATCATCCTTTAAACAACCACTTTTCTCCTATCAGTCATTGTTTTCATTGAAGAGAAGGAACAACTAAACAAACACCTTATTCAGAAGATGTAGAGCTATTTTGAAGAGCTTCCTTTACAAATGCTCCTCTTGGAACCCAGTCTCTCATGTAAAGTGGATCTCCTGTCTGAACCATCCTTCTCTGCGAACAGGTAAGTTCTGATGCTTTTATTGCCTTTTAGTCTCGTGAGCAGGTTTCTAGCTTGTATTTAATCAACACATTTTATGCTGGCACTCTTGAAAGAAAAAAAAGGTTTGTTGAAAGCAAACTGATAAATTCAGAATGTTGAAGAATAAGCAAGAGATAAAGGAGGTCAAACAGAAAATGGCTGTTTTTGCTCATAACAACAGAAAACATTGTCTGCTCTTCTTTCTCCCCTTGCTTTTCTTACACTTATCAGTTTCTTTTCATACTGGCTGTGATAGAGTTTTGCTTAGTCTTGTTTAACTCAATAACAAAATGTTTTTGAAGAACTTATTCTGCAGGAATAAGGCAATGTCAATCTTAATGCATATGCAGCTTCTGATTTGATATGTTTTTGAGCAGTATTAGTCTCATACCTGAAGAGAGAAATAGAACTCTTTCAAAGTTATTTGATACAAGTTGTTTGCAGTGTTTGGGTTTGCAAATGTTGTCCAAGATTAAGCAACTTTTTCATTTCAACTTGCAAGTGGGAATAAAGAGCTTTGAACTTTAAACTGGATTATTGTGTCATACCGGTTATGTTGTTATTTTCACTTTTGCTTATACAACTTGTGAAGAAGCAACAATAAATATCTGTTTCTGTAGCCTTTACTTCAGTGGCTAATAGCACTGAGTTTATGGGGCTGCTACTTCTACGGGGACCACAGTGATGAGAAGTTATTTGGCTGTTAAAGATTTGTTAGTAAAATACAGGGAAGATGTATAAGAATTCAGTGTTGTTGGACTTTTCAAGAGGCACAGCAACTAAACAAACAGTTGAATGATCTAGCAGCAGCAGGAGACCTGCTAATGCAAATACTTAGTGGAGTGACTCATGAAAAACAAGCTGAAAGAAAAACATTAACCAGCTTGCCCTTTCTTCCTCTCCCAACCCTTCTCCCTCCTTTCTTCTTCTCTTCTCCCTTACCTCTTTTCCTCCCTTTTTCCCTTCCTTCCCCTACTTCCCTTTACACCCCTCCTTTATCTGCAGAAGCAGATCAACAACAGGGAATTTTTCCCTACTTGCATTGTTACATCCAGAAGAATTGGTGCAGGAGGCAAAAGTGAGATGCCATTCCATTTTAAAACCTAAACCAATCTATGACATTCTCCCTGTTGCTGGATCACTGAAAGGGAAGAGGTCTAAAGAGCTTATCTAGCTGTCTTACATTTTCAGTCACCATCTTGGTGCATAGGCTCATCCAACCATGGCAGGTGATGCTGGAGTGAAAACAAACAAACAAACAAACAATGACTTCAATGTAGTTGTGCTGCAAAACCTCCTTAGAAGCTTTACAGCCTATTTTTCACAAGTATAAATATCAGAAATAAGTGAATACTCCCAGCCTTCAGCCATCTGCATGTATGTGTGGGGTTTTTGTACAGATACATGTTATTCTTTGGTCTTCTGCTTTCTCTCTCTCTGGGTGTCTTCCCATGGATATTGTTATTGGATAGTGTACCATCATGTGTTTGGAGTTATCGCTGCAGTTTTATGTGGCTTTGCTATTCTAAATTTTCTTTCCAGGAAGCTTCAGTTTCATGAGTTTAACCAACATACCTCTTTCACTGTAACGTGGTTGCATTAGCAAAGGTTCCCATTTGAATCAATGTGACATTCAAAGTATTAGGAGAAGGCTACCACAGTATAGGAATTGAAAAGTATTATTATGTGTGGTTCCTACATACAACTATCACTTATGGAGGAAAAATTCTCTTAAAGGGCTCTCTAAAGCACAAGTTTGCTTCTTTAGAGAACATACCAACTGCGAATGCTTATACCACCCTGCAAACATGAATGGAGGTGGTGGTGCACCTTCTGAGTTCCAGTACACCATAAAGACCGCAGAATTAATCTGCTGCTGAGATTATTTCCATCATCTTCTTCTTCATATGTAATGTAAAAATCTGCATTCTCACTCATAACCAAGCTAAACTGATGTGTACTTCTAAATGTACTTGCATATGCTCATTTATCTCCAGAGTACCTCTTAACGGCACACTTACAAGTTACTCTTATTGTTGCTGAAATTTTGAAAGTAAAATCTATCTTTTCTCATCTAATATATAAATAGCCTAATTTGATTCTTGGAAACCTTTAATTTCTGGCTGTAATAAACTGGTAGAGGAACATGTTTCTAAAATACATGTTTCCAGCCACTGGAAGGAAGTGTATCTTACTAATATCTTTATCATTAATTTGCAGTAATGATCCAGAAACTCAAACTAGCAGGAAGGATAAAAATATAGAGGCAAGACTTAAATAGCTTGTTGACAGAGAAGGGTTAGAAATAAATTTAACCTTAAGCTCAGCCACAATGACCACTTGCTACTCAGTTCTTATATGGCATTGTATTCTGTGCTATTTACTGTTTTATCATGCATCTTGTAGAGCATTCTTCCTTGGTCCTTTCTGAGAAACTACATGACTGAATGCAACCCCTAAGTGAAGGCAAGATTTGTGAGCTAGTGCAAGAAGTCTGTTCTGCAGCCATGTTTGGGGGTATACCATCAGTGCCTTTACTCTTGACACAGACTTTGTCAGCAGGGCTGGTTGATTCTGCAAGTCCTGACATCATGGAGCTAATTAGCCATTACAATTACAAAGCGCCTCAGTCTGGATGAACCCATTCACCAGTCATATGGAGCAGTGATTTAGTCTATGCAGTGGCACTCCAGACACATTTCAGTTCGATAAATGAGATTATCCTTAG